CTAATAATTGCGTCCCTGTTCTGGGCCCTTCCTCTCCTCTCAGAGTCATGTATTGCAACAGTTTCTGTCCTTATCTGTGAGGCTGCATTGAGTTCAAGTCTGTTTGTCTGGCTGCCTGTCTGGCATTTGTTCTGTACTGTATCGGGACTGTGTGTGTGACTCAGATTATGCGCGGTGACCTTTGCGGTATCAGTCAGCTGTTGCCGTTTCTGACCATTAAAGTGGGACATTCCAGCAGATCTTTCATAGAGGCTTATTCAGAGCTGCAAGACAGAGAATCCATAATTTCTCGGCCTTTGACTGCTGCAGAGTCTCGCCAGCTCTTCTTCGTCCCTCATCATGTATTCTGGTTTTGTCTTCTCTGCTCGTCTGTCATTACAACTCTTTTATAAATTGACTACTATTAACTACAAACATCGGTTTCTCTGTTTCAAGCCCTCAGCATGTATTTATAAATAGCAGTTTGCCATGTCTTGCTAACCTGATTGAATTTCCTGGTTGGTTACAGTCACAGCAGTGACACCACAACAGCGGTCGATTATCTCATTATCTCAGTTTCCATGTCAAGGACAAGCAGTTATCCATCGTGTGCCTGTGAATTTTTAGAAAAACATGATTCATGTGACTCCCCTTTGCTTGTTGTTGCCAGCTGAGACAGGTAGCCAACTGGGTTACAGTGTCAGAAACAGGAAAGCTGGACTTCTTTGGATCATGTTGCTCTAAACTTGTGCCGTTAATGCTGGTGTAAATTCATGTCCAAAGAGCCGTAGTAGCCAGCTCTGTAGTGTGTCCTATAAATGGAAGGGCCACACACTTTATGGAGCCTCCATGGATGTGACTGAATGTAGGCCTGACAAAGCCTTTAGAAACCTTTTTAACGCGTTGCCCTCCAAGACAGATTTTGTTTTCACTGACTTTGTTGGAGCTGTGTCACAGATTTTCCTTGAGAAAACTGAGACGAGCGTGTTTTCCTTTTTGTGTTGGAAGCTCGTGTGCACTTGAGGTTGAAGTCAAGCTGTTCAAAAGAGGAAGAGTCTCGGTTACATCTTGGCTGCTCTTTCTCTTTACACACCGTCTTTATTACCGAGATCCCATCCGCAAACCCGCACTATCCATTTTGGATCTCAAAAGCCTACAAATTCAATTAGGCTAAGACGTCTCAGCAAGCATGTTTGTGTTCATATGTTTGTCAAAAGGCATCTAGATTAAAACCACAGGAAGGTGAGGAGAACTTTTAATGCGTTAGCAGCAATTTACTGATTACATATGTCCACATTCAGTTACAGTCACTGACACTGTTTAAGATAAAGGTTGATATTTTTATGCTTTTAACCAATTTAGCCCTTAGTTTTAATGTCCTTTGAGCTGCCAATCATGCTTACTGTGGTGGATAAATGCGTCTGTCTAGTCTTTCTGACGCATTCTTTTGGTTAAATGTGGTTCTCAGCTGCAAAAATGTCCAAAATCATATGATGAAATAGACAAGATTGTTTTTCACTCTTGTGCTTCAGATTTCCTCTGACGCCCATTATCACCATTTTACCACTGAGAAGGTGAAGTTATTCACCCTGTAAATCCCCAAATTTGTGGGATACACGATCGCTGACCCCTCCTCAGGCGCTGCTCTCAGCGTTTTGGAAAACAGCGACTGGTTATGTGGTTTAGGAGAACTTTTCCCTTCTCCCCTGCATCGCCACGAAGCAGCGCAGCCGCTCACTCTGTCAGATTCTTGAGTTGCAAGTTGGCACATTCGTCATCGTTTTTTGAGTTGTTTCGCTCTTTATCGTACATTCCGTCTCCATCTAACTTTGGCGTCACATGGTTTGTTTTGATTTTCTCAGTCATCAATCTCTGAAAGCTAAACTTGGAGAAACAGGGGAGGTGGCGGTGAAGGGGGGTCCGCTAATGTTTGTGGTATGTTCGATAATGGTATTTTGTCTGGTTGAGTTTGGATAGTTCCCACACATGTTCATGCACACACATGCAGTCGTAGGCGCACATGCACGGGCCCTACATAAACTTTCTCAGGGGATAATTTAAGGACATTGTCAGTGGAGTCGAACAATCAGTGGGTTCAGATAGAAATCCCTCTTTAGGAGCCAGAACCAGGAAACTAGAGTGTTTATTTTGGAAATAGGTCTCCTGCTCCTGCTTTATCATAAACAATAATACTCAGAAATGGTCCTTTCCTTTCCCTCGTGGTGCCAGGATCCGCATTCTTCTCCCAAAATTGTACCTCCAAATGTTTTTCTGAAATACCCAGAATGGGCTCACTTTACATTTTTGTACTTTCAGTTTGAGAGCCGTGATGGCTGTCAGTCTGAGGTGTTCTTAGGAATTACACTTTGGACCTTTTCGTTGTAATTTACCATCCTGCATCCATTTCTGGTGTTTTTAGAGCTGCTTTTAAGTCTTTTGGAGCAAGTCTGAGCTTTGGGTCGAGAGACACAAATCAACTGAGACAAGTCAAAATCAAGTCTCAAGTTCAAATCAATTAACTTGTCAACTTGTCAGTCAAGACCAGGCAAACTTAATTAAAAGTCTTGTGAAGTTTCAAATCAAACATGATCAACAACAACTTCATGCCAAGTCTCTCGTCAACCAAGGCAAGTCCAGTTCAAGTTAAGTCGTAATCTCAATTGAGACAGGTGCAAGACAAGTCCTCAGGCAGTTGAGACAAGTCCAAGTCAAATATTAATTCAATAAAAATGATTTCAAATCAAGTACAAGTCCTTTTAGGTTTCAAGTCAATATGATTAATTCTAAGTCCATGCAGAGTCAAATCCTGCTTGACTCTTGATAAGTGAATCAGGTCAGTCAGGACAAGTGCAGGTCTAGTTGGAGTCGGGTCAAGTCTGGCTGAAGACTTTGATTTTGATTCAAGTCTTAAGGACATTTCAGATAAGTTCACGTCCAGTCTCAGGTCATTCGAGACAAGTAAAGCCTCAACCAGGATCAGTAAAAATCCAGTCTGTGTCCAGTGCTGTTGTGTCTCAAGTGAGTTTCAACAAGTCCAGCTTCTGATCAAATGAGGCAAATCTAAATAAAGTTATGTCTCAGTTCAATCAGGACAAGTTCAAGTCACACCTGTCAAGTCAAATCAGACAAGACACACCAAGCTACAAGCCACGAAATTTCAAATTTGTTTTAAATGATTTAAATTTTAAATCCCTTTAAACCCCTGATTGCTCAGCATTAAAATTGCTTCCCATGTGAATATTTTACATTTTAAAAGCTATGTTGATCATGAGTTTTGCAAAGACTGAGCTGATAATAATTGTTGAAACCTTTCTGATGATGTCTGTCTTTAAATTCTCTTCGGATGTCATCAGGCAAAACTCAATACTTGATGCTTCAGCAGACAGATTTTTTTTTAGCAAATCTTTTTGACTACAGTCAGATTTAAACTCAGGCCTCAAGTCAGCAGTTATGGTGGTTTCCATTCTTTGCACAAGTTATTTCCATCCAGCAGCAGTATTCCCAACAGAGTTTCAGTCTAAAAGATATGATTACCACCATAAAGGTCCATTCAGTCTCAGGGAATGTTACATTTATATCCGGCTGGCCCTTGTCTCGAGACGTTTTCGGTCTTTCTGTTCTTCTCTCTGTCTCACACTCTGTCTGCAGGGGGTCCAGCTGAATCTGGCGAACACATGAGATCGGAAGTCTGTATGAGGGAATTAGTGAATATCTTGGGAGACACTGGAGTGCCTGGCTTTAGATCAGGCTGGAGAGCGTACTATACATGTTGGATGAGCTTTTAATGGCACTGTAATGGAAGTCCAAACAACTTGTGAGGAAGCTGTTTCCACAGAATTTGGGTTGGCGAGGTACTGCCACAGTAGGACTACTTTTTTATGTGAGCGCTGATGTTCAACAACTGTTACAAATAAGGTTGTCGTCTCAGCCATCTAGCGTGGGTAAATCATATCTGGACAGAACACTTAGAGCTCAGAACCAGCAGTAAAAGGATCCTTTAGATATCACAGGGTAGGCAGCAAAATGGAAAACTGCCATACAGAGAAAGGAAATTAGACTTGCTGTCGGGGGGGAAAGGAGTTTGCATAGTTATGTAGTTACACTGGACATTCAAGTAGAAAGTACAACACCTCACATTTGAACAAAATCTCCGGTTTCACCTCCATTAAGTTCATTCTCAGCTGGTGCTAAAGCGTGTTTCTGGTTCTGTCAGAACACAATGTGAATGAACAGTCAATTTGTTTATATCCAGTTTAATGACCCCCCCAACAACAAAGCTCTGACAGTGTTTGTGTTCTTTCTCTGTGTGGGTTCTCTTCAGCTTGAACATATTTAGGATTCTGTCTAATTGCCCTCAAGTGTATCCAGACCAGGTTTGGTGCAATTTTGGGTCGACTCCCAATCTTTGAAATTGAATTTATACACGTCCAATTCGGGAAGGCTCTTTGGAGAGCTCCGGTTATGAGTGCCACAAACATTTTTATGTTCGCTTGAGATTGTTTTTGACTTTTTTGAACAGATGGAAACACCTTTTCTGGATACATACTGCTGTAGTGATCATTTAGCTCACATGTCTGATCACACAGCACCAAACATGGACAATAACCGGCTGACGTGAAACAATAATTACAAGTTTCCCAGTTAACACAATTCCTAATGGCTGAATTTTTCTCCCATAAATGACCAAAGTTTTATTTGCTCTTGGGTCTGACTTCTTCTCCTCTGTTTGTTATGACAGTGTAGCCTCCTGAACACACTCCACAGTTTAGCTTATTCCCTCCATAGCAGTGAATGGAAAACATGCCAAAGTTGGGTTTTCTTTTTTAACTTTTTTAACATTTTAAAAGTTTGCTTTAAATTTACTTGACAGTTATTTGGAAACAGGAGTTATTAAAATACAAGTTTATGAAGTGGTTCAAGGTGTGTTTTCAGAGCTGGAGTTTTCTGGATTCCTTTTAAATCTGACCTCTCAGTGTGACATTTGTTTGCTGATGCTCACCTGAGTTTTGTTTTCTCCACAGACGCAGCGTTCCTCTCATCAGGCCTCACTCCTGGCACCTGGCAAAGCTACCGGAGCTTCCCCTCCCTCCCCCTCCTCCTCCTCCGTCTCCCCCACCGCCGCCCTGCCTCCCCCACGCCGACTCCCCTCCACTCCCTCCTCCTCCTCCTCCTCCACCTCCGCCTGCCATGCAGCTCCACCCCGGACAGTACACACTAGCCTGGCACACAACTGACAACAGGTGAGAACGCACATAACTCTTATGTCTCGTAAACTTCAATGCAAAGCTGTCGCCGCTCTCGATTTCTAACGAGGGAGCTCAAGCTGTTATAAACATTTCACGGCGGGATTTATTTAGTAAAGCAAGATGGTGGATCGCTGCTGGACCGTCAAACATTTGCAGTCAGGTCGTGTGGAAGACTTAGGATTAAGGATAAAATTCTCATACAGGATGCAACTCTTTCTCTGTCACGCCTCACATTCCAGTCTACTGATTTTTAACAGAAGTAGGTTATCAATTAAACAGTCTACAAGTCACCAGTTTGATACCTCATGCAAGATTTCTGACGCTGTACTGGTTTACTTGTGTGTTGGGAGGCTTCCTTTTACGAGGACATGATTCAGGAAACCTTGAACCGCTTGTCATTATCAAATAACTCTTGCTTTTATTGAGGAATAGATAATGTTTAAACTGTAAAAACTTTATGTAAAATGATCATAGCAGCTTCCTGGAAACAAAGTAATGTGTGCACGTCACTTGTTTTGCAGCAGTTTAAAACCCAAAGGAACTCAGTTTACGATGATTACGTGAGCTCTCTGATGATTTGAAAATATGATTATATTTTTGTCACGACAGCAGTTATCACAAATGTGTGTTCGGTCCTTGACAAACATATAAAAAGCATAAATAATAATGTCATATAGTTTGCAGTGATATAAACCATCAGGTATCTTTGAAATCGCCGCCATCAGTTGATAGAACGAACAGTTTACTAAACCCAGACAGACTGTTCAAAGTCTACCACATTACAATCAGTGTAGGTGTTAATGATGCTGATACACTCACATTAGGTAGGGGGCAATTAATTAATTACATGAAGACAGCCGAGACATGTTTATGAGCGGCTACATCCCCCTGGCTAATGTCAAATAACATTTCTTCAGTTGATGACAAAAGGCCTTTTATTCATGAGATAAAAATCAAAGTTATGTAAGTCCTAGTAGTGTGGTCGTTGTAATGATTTATAGTCCACTGTGGTCGCTGGTGGCTTTTAAGTTGTGGGGAGCTTTGGGCAGTTTTAGACGGACTAAGTGACAGAAGTGAGCGTGACTGGTGACTCAGATTACAAGGTTTACTTTGTGGTTTTGGGTCACAAGTAAAGATAGTAACTCGGTTCATCCAGCTTCTGCTCAGCTTTAATTTGTCACATCTTAAGAGTGAAGACCATTAATTATAAACTGTAACTTCTAATTGCAGCTAAAAATATTAAAAAATTGCGTAATGTGCAGCTCTAATTAAACGACAAGCGCGTCATGCTGCAGATTTGAGTCATGCCCTGTGGTCCTGTGACTCCAGAGGACGCTGGCTGGGGATTTTCTGGTCCCTGTGACTTCGCCCCCAAAAGCCAACAATCGGCAGGAAACAGGTGACATCACTGTGTTTTACTGCGAACGCCGCCCACGCAGCAGGCCCATTGGTCTATTTTTGGCTTCTATTTAAACATTCCCCAAGAGATAACCAATCAGATCCCTCCGGTGAGCGGCCCTTTGTGTCTGGCCGGCGGTGAAGTCATCCTTTGATGGGCAGCGTGACTTAACGAGCAACAAATTCTAGATGGTTTTACGGTTTGTGGTCTGAGCCGGTAACTGATTTGTCGCTGTGTCTACCTTTTGGGCTCAGATCAGGGTGTTTGGAGAAGCATTGGGAGGTAAATGTCTGCACCAAAGCGTCTAAAAGGTTTAAAAATGACAGTCTGTGAGATCCATGCGTGATCCTGATTCAGTTTTTGAGGAGGTTCACATCAGTTTCCGTCTTCACATTCAGCCCCAAGGGTGAGAATCTGGTCTGTGTGGTCCGCCTGATTAACCGACATCTTAATAAAGAGTGTTTTTGATATAAATAGTATTTTTGTCGCCACAAATGACTGCGTGGGGTTGCTGCTTTTCCGTTTGTTTGTGTCTGTGTTGAAACTATGCTCATGGAACTTTTCCAGGATAATGAAATGTGTTAGCGATGCAACGGTAGCACAAGAAGAAAAAGAACAGAAAGTTGGTTAACATTAGCATACATGAGGTTTCCCTTCATATGTAATTATACCTCCAAATAAAGCTGGTACTAAGACACATTTTCTTCTTCTTAATTTAAAAAAAAATTCTATATATGTATGTATTTAGTTTACCTAAAAGGAAAGCACACAGAAAACAGTCAAAATGTTTGTGTATAGCTATTTAATACCTATTTTAAACCGTTAATCACATTCTTTATCACCTAAATTGTACTTTAAATAACGCTGACATGTGTGAGACGTTAAACGGACAAACCAGTGCCCGTTTTTCGATCACCTGTTCAGCTCTAAACATAATTCTGGGTGTTTTCTTGTTAACGTAGCACAACAAGGTCAAACGATTGAATTGCCCAGTCAGGTTGAATAAGAAGCTCTTTCATGGTCTTTGTATTGCAGCGTGATCTCACCGGAGTAAGAGGAAGTCCCCACCGTCTGTATGTTGACTCGCAATAAAAATAGCCGTTCTGTCTTTGTTTGTCAGCTCCATGGAACGCTCGTGTTTGCACTGTTCTCCCTTTCGATAGGAATCAGTGATATAATGTGCCGCTATTAGATTTAATAGTCCCACGTGGATTACACAGCAGTGTGTGTGTGTGTGTGTGTGTGCACATGTGAGTGTATGAGTGGGTCTCTCATTCCCACAGTTTCTCCTGACTGATCTCATCTCACACACACACACACACACACACACACACACACACACACACACACACCAGCACAGCATCTGATGAGGAGGCAGCTCCCGGCATAACTCTGGACAATGGCATGTGACTCCCAGAACATGTGGACAAAGAGAGGAAGACGTTCAATAAACTGTGTGAAGCAGAGGGACATTTTGTCCTGCGAGTGTGTTAATTTCTTCACTAAGTGTGCGTCTTCTCGTGAGGAGAAGAGAAAATATGAGATTGAAGAAAAGTACAGTGTTACAGTCACATTCACACTCACACAGAATTAATCATCTCACATGCCCGATTGGCCATAAGTGTGTGCGTGCTGCTGTGTCTGCGCGTATCCTCCCGCTCACATGTTCCACATTGACGTCTGATTGGACAGGAGTGACTGTCATTTCCTGTCCAGCTCCCGTCTCATTTCCTCTCTTCCTCTCTCTGTCACCCAGGTCAAATCTATACAGAAGCCTCTCCTTTCTCATTCACTGCTCACTTCCTTCAAACACCATTTTCTCATGCAGATAGCGATGCCTTTTTTCCCCCCACTAGTCACAGTGTTGTCCTCCATTGTCCAACTGTATTTTTACAAGCTTGCTGTACAATCAGACTGTGTGTCCACGTGAGCGTTTATTTATTTATTTTTTTTTACCAGACATGCACTGCTTTCTATTAATGTGACGCTAACCGAACATGTCAGCGTCATGTCTGGATGTGCACTCTGCTCACTTTTTCCTGACGTCCAAAAGCATCACAGAGAGCAAGATCACAAAACACCCTGCTTCATTTAAAGATTGGAAAATTAGTATCTGGGCCCATATTTTCTGTGCGTCAAAGACTTTCTGGCGCTTTCATTAGCCGAAGCTTATGTGAGCACGATATGTACCAAAAAATATAAGACTTCTCTGCAATATGTGCCTCTGTCGTATTGTGGTGCAAATTCCCCAACAAATTAGCGATTTATAAAACTTTCCAAACTGTTCACATGCAGCTTCTTCAGACCTCTGGGCTGTAAGTCTTGGGCCCACTTTCCCCGGTTGTAATTCAACCTTTTTCCTTTCAGCATCAGTTCTGTATTAATTGCCATCAGCACTTCATTATTGTGTAATGGAGTAAAAAAATATATATATAATTGATGTTCACCGTGCTGGATTTCATATCCCAGTCAAGCTTGTTTTGATATTGCACAGACCTTAATTCATTCAACAGTTTGTTTTTGCTTGTGTGATAAAAAGCTGACAAGATTTATAACAAATGAAAACATCAAATCCAGGGTCGGCTCCTTTAGGGAACCTCCTGAATTATATCTAAACAAAGCCCAATTATAGGAGCACGGAAAGACAAATGACTTGTAGACGTTCGACTACAAGAGAACAAAGGGTATTTTTTGACAAGAATATGTTGGGTGTCAGTTTTTTTGATTTTTAAAGCATGATTGCAAACCACAAACACCACAGAAACAGCCCGAAGATAGTCTGCTGGTGGTTGGAGATCAAAGCCCGTCAGAAGTTTCTCTCCTCCGTCAGCCCTCCTCTGTCTCCCTGGCAACGTTCCCCATTGTTTGAATAAGACACCGAAGAAATACAAAGAGCGAGTGACCACTCTCTCCTCTTTATAGGGAAAAGAAATACCACAATAAAATGTCTGCAGATTGTTGTTGGGGGGCCTTCACGGGCTGGATCTGAACCAAGCACAAGAACACCGGGTGCCCCGACCGCCTGGAGTTAATATCGATCGCCAATATGTGTGAAATGTATTTTTCTATCCCCGTTCCCTGAGCTCTCGTTTTGCTCCCTGTTGTTTAATCTCATGCAGGAAGTTGAGCTTGCTGGGAATTCTTTTGTTCTCTCTGTGTGATTCTGGGGTCATTTATTTGGCCTAATAAACAGTTGAAAAGCAGAAAGCGGACACAAAGATTGCAGCTCGGTCACCATGTCCTGGCTCAGAGTCTGACCTGTGACGGGCGGCTCGGCCTGTTGAGCAACGTTTGATATACAGTATGTATGACATTTATTGCGTCTCTGTCTGCCCGACCCCCCATCTGCTTCTCATCCGGCGTTTTTTTCCCCTTTTTATTCCAGTCGAAAAGTTTATAGAGGAATCCTTCTTTGTATAAATGAAGGGTATTCGGCTAGATGATGCTGTATTCTGTATAAAATGAAATGCCGTCTAAGACATATTTGTGATTTTGGGCTTTACCAATGAAATATTCTTTCTAGTACTGGAAGTAAAAAGTCTTTTGTAAATTCTGTGCCATGTAATTAACTGAGCAGCTGTACAGTAAAGGGAATCTATTTGTTGTGTCTTTGTGAAAGCGGGTATCATTCTGGAGTGAACCTACATTTGATGTAAAGGAGATGCGACAGGAAGAATCAAAAAACGGAAGACGGGAATGAAAGGGGAAGACGAAAGAGGATGAGCGGAATCAAGGGATGACTTAGAGATTCTGACTGCAGGCAGTGGGAGTTGATGAGGAGGAAATCCCTCTCCGCCTAAAGAGGCTTCCTCCGAGGGGCTTTAAAAACACATGGGGCTGCCGTGGATCTTCGGCTCAGCCCTGATAGGAAACAGATTCCCCAGCTGCACAGTTGAAATGTTGTGTCCCAGAAGAATATACTGTATACGTCTCGCAACTTTCCACTTGAAAATTGAGGACGACTTGTTGTATGTAGCTTCGAAAAGCATTAACTATTTTGTCAATCAAGAAGTAACACAACACTGTTTAGAAGGAAACCATGTGAATTTTGCTCAGGGGACGTTTTACATTATGGAAGTTTTTCTACAGTTTGTACATCCCAGCTCTCCAGGAGAAGGCTTGTGTTTAGTGTTCGATTAGTAGAATATAAACGTTCCATATGTAAGGTGACACAAGTTTACTTACTTTGTCTGTAACACATCCCAAAGCCACAGTCTGAATACTGAAGTTGTCCTTTGTGTCTCTGCAGTGACTTGTCCATGCAGTGGGGTCAGCTGTCCAGACCTTACTCCTCCACCGACCGAAGCAGTTCCCTGGGCTCCATGGAGAGCTTGGACACTCCCACGCCCACCACACAGCCGTACTCAGACTCCCATAATTCACCTGTCGACCCAACCCTCTTCAACAACAAGAGAGACTCCGCCTACAGCTCCTTCTCGGCCAGCTCAAACACATCCGACTACGCCACGGTGCCGCTGAGGCCCGGTGAAGCCTGCTCCATGGACAACCTCCTGCAGAGCCTCGGGCCGGCTTGTCCGGGTGACTCCTCCACCCTGGGGAGGTCGTCCGGCGAGGCCCCGGATGAGGCTCAGCTGGTTGCACACAAGTCCAGGTCTCTGACGAGGCCGAGGCCGAGGCCCGTCGAGGTGAAGGAGAGGCCCTCGTCCTGCTGCTATGAGCAGGAGAGGAGGGCAGACTTTGAGATTGTAAGAAATGGAGAAAGGGGAGCAGAGAGAAAGATGAACCCCCCTCAGCCTCCAACCAGGAAGGACAGTTTCAGGGCCACCCGGAGTCGCCCTCATGCTGCCAGCCCACGTTGCACTTCAGCTCCTATTGAAAACTCCAGTACTTCTTCTTTTTATGAGGAAAACAAGTCCTCTCTGAATGTTGAATCAGGACTTCATAATGGCTTCCCCGCACCAGCAGAAGGTGATCAAACTGAGGATTTCAAGGAGGAAACTGTGGACTCACACTTTATCCAAAGACAGAATAAAGACATGAGACACATCAGATGTGAAACTGGTGCTAATAAAGACTACAAGTCAGAGACAACCTCAGATCACCTCTCTGACTCAGTGACAGCCTCCCCGGTCCCTACCATCTCCTCTGGTCCGGACTCTTTACCTGCAGAATCCTCCTCAGAGGCTCAAGAACCAATCACACGCTCCCAGACCAAGCACTCCTCTGCGGGGCTGCACCGGCACAGCGCCCCTGAGAAGCTACTCGCTACACAGCTTCAGTTACTGCAGTTCAACAGGGATAGCCCTACATTGGAGCCCTACAGTCCATCAAACACTTCTGATCCCTCATCGTCCCCCTGCAGCAGTCAGTGGTCTCATTCTTCACTCCAGCCCACGACAGAAGACCAGGAAGCTTCTCACAACCACCTTCACGCCCCGTCACATAAATGGGGAGGCAGCCGATGCTCAACCCCCGGGTCAGTTTTCTTGGAAGGTGATGATGGAGATTCAGGTGAAAGGCTGGAGGAGATGGGGGTAAATGGCAGCTCTGTCTCACCAGTTCATCATCACATCTCCTGGGGTCGCTCTGTCAGCGTACCAGGAGAACCCTCAAACTCAGCAACACAGGAAAGACTGAGCTCTGACCAGATACTGGAGAGTGATTTTGTGCCTCTTAGTGCTGCTGCCAGTGTGGACACCCTCCTGGAGGAGCAACGAGCAGCAGAGAGGGGAAGAGGTGGAGGGAGAAAGGAGGAGGATGTAGAAGGAGAGGCAGCCATGAAGAAATCAGCCTCAGCCAGGAACCATCGACGAAACCGACGTCGCAACGAGCGATTTGCTACTAATCTTCGCAATGAGATCCAGAGGAAAAAGGCCCAGCTTCAGCGTAGTCGTGGCCCAGGAGGGTTGCTCTGTAGTGGAGAAACTGTCCAGGAGGAGGAGGGTCCGGACCTCAGTGAGGAGGGAACAGAACCAGACCTGCCTGCACAGGAAAAGAGTGCCAAAGTTGCATTTGCATTACCCGCTATTCCCCAAGATTCTCAGAGCTCCTCGTCAGTCAGAACCTCAAACACGTTGAGTAAATCCAACCATGATGTCCTGCAGACTCAGTCCACAACTTACCCTCAGAACAACAACCTCTCCAGGTCTGTTCAGATTCTAGACCCAGGTGTGCCGAGTTTTGGGCTCGGCATCCGAGTTGTAGAAGAACCAGCTCCTGCTGGCAAGGCCCGCCGTTGGCGTTGGACCCCCGAGCATAAACTCCAGCCTGAACCTGATCCAGCTCGACGGTATGGAGGCTCGGGTGAGAAGGTGTTAGGGGTCACAGGGTCACGCCATGGGGTGTGTGCCTTCACCTCCTCATCCACTTCCTCCTACGGTCGCTCCTCTTCATGCTCTCGAATGGAGGAGTCGGATATCCTTCCATTTGCAGACAGAATGAAGTTTTTTGAGGCGACGAGCAAAGGCATGCCAGTACCAAATGCTTTGAGTCTGTCGAGTTCCAGGCAGAAGAAACCCTCGCACCATCTGGAGCACCAGGGGAGAGAGCTCGATCAGCACCCAACCCAACGGAGATACTCATATCAGGGGGGACTTAAGCAGGAAAATGCCCTGCTTCCAAACACTATGGAGGCCAGGAGGCAGTCTGTGAGCACCTTCAGGGAGAGGCAGAGGGAGAAGGAGAGGGAACAAGAGAGGGAACGGGAGGAGAGGGCTAGGGAACGAGCACGGGAGGAGAGGCTACGAGAAAGGGAGAGGCAGCAGGAGAAGGAAAGACAAGAGAGGGAACTAGAAATGGAGAGTGCAAGGCTGAGGGAGATCCAGCGGGAGAGGGAACGAGAGGAGAGGGTGAGACAGTGGGAGAGGGAGAGGCAGAGGGAGCTGGAGCTGCAAAGAGAGGAAGAGATGGAGAGAGCCAGAGAGAAGGAGCGACTCAAGAAAGAAAGAGAGAAAGAGCTCGAGAGAGAACGAGAGAGGGAAAGGGAAGAAGACTCTCAGCTCACCTCCCATCAGGAGTTTTATGGCACATCTGGCATCAAAGACAGAAATCAAGACTTCCAGCACAAGGACAACTTCCACAACTACCAGCCCAAGCCTCAGGCGTTCTCCCACAGCCAAGCCCAGAGTCACGTCCCACGCTCGGCCTTTTATCCAGTCAGCACTCAGCCGCTGGAGAACCAGCAGCCTCTGGGATACACAGCGAGGAGCTACACACCCACAGAGGTAAGAGGTTTTATCAGTGAAGAAAGACTCACTGCATTTATACAGTTAGTGGAAGAGTAAAGTGTTCCCATGCTCTGTGATAGCCTGTTGTGTAGGAATCTGGAGTGGACTAAACTAGGTTGGGTTTTCAAGCTTTTGAATCGTGAGATCTGATACCCGGCCTGCAACAAAACACAAACTAATTTCTGTACTCAGGCAACAAACTATTCCAAGGCATCTATCCTGTTATATATGAACATGTAATAGGCTCCAACTGCATCCAGAACCAGGATGTTTACAAGCCTGCTGGCTTCAGAACCTATTTCCAGCAGCAGGCCCGCTAAGTTAAATAGCAGCCCGTGTCCCCACAGCACTGAAACCAAGTAACGCCTTTCAGAGTGAAAGATAAACTTTGCAGTTCACTGAAATCAGACTGTGGTTTTGGACCGAGCTGAAATGACCACTGGAGACTGAAAACTATCTTGATTCTTTCAAACAGCACCAGAAAGGGATCGAGTGGCCACACTTGGATGCTGGAGCTAAGTGGCCGCTCGGTCCAAGTGCTCCGTGGTTGAACGGTGGGTTTGAAGTTGAACTTCGCATCCTGCATGTGGTCAGAGTCTGAAATTCTCATTGAAAATTCTGCGGATCATTGAAATAGTTCATGGAACTGAGGGAGATTGGGCAACAGCGGCGGACACTTGTGTCAGCGATAATAGCAGCGTTGGGTTACATCTTTACCGCAAATTGATTCGAGACTCCTGGCAGGGGGTGCAGCCCCTCGTCTGAACTGCTGTACCTCCTGTGAACTCCAGCCGATTAGTGCCCTTATCGTCTGACACTGAGCATCCAAGATGACGTGTGTTTGGGACTAAACGTGTGTTCGGTTCAGCAGATATTTGCTTCAAGCTGCCACGGTTTTGTTGTTTCTGTGTATTTTTGCTGTGCTGAGGCCTGAGGGGAGCCCTGAACTCTGGCCTCCTCCATGTTGGGATCATTTTCAAATCTAAGGTTGTTGGTTTGATGCCACAGTGATAACCCCATGTGTTGGGATCTGCTGCTGACTACGTCCAAAACCTTTAATGGTAACAGATGTGCTGAACGTGTGCAAAGAGAACCATGTGAGAGCATATAGAAACACATGCACGTGGACACTCATCTACCAGAAGTGAATAAATGAAAACATCCAATTTAGACATAGATCCAAAGGTTTGTATTTAAAACAGGGAATCAGGGTCCATTCATTAAGGTGTGTGCGTCCACGTTCCAGCATGTGTGTGTGTTTTGGACGTAGGGAGGAAACAGAATGTGAAAATACAGAAATGTAAGTGGCTGCTGTTATTATTTGTGGTCTGTCACTCAGTGAGCTCTCGTTTGAGAAGCCCAGCTGTGTTTTCAAATCGTTCACTCAAATTGTTTTTGGCCAAATTACGCGTTCAGATTAAATTATTTTTTACATCCCACCTCATTACATGATCGTTAAATCTACACTTTGATGCGATTTGCCTTTTTCCCCCCATTCGTTTTATGAACGTCAGCGATGAAAACATTGCGTGCACAACGTCCATTATCGTCTGAATGAAACACATTTAGAACATTCATATTCTGGATTTGCACTTTGTGTTTAGTCAGTTGGAACTCTTTCTTGGTTTCACAATTATTTTAAGATTTTGGTTTAATATGTTGAGCCTGGACCAAGAAGTGATGGATTAAAGTTGAATTTTCAGCTGTTTTGTCAGCGAGGATAGTCGTAGCGTATACAGAAAACAGCATATGGACCTGCGAACAAGGTGAGGCGCTTGATTTTCACCAGAGGGGGTCCTTATTGCCGCTTTAAACCCCGAGAGACAGTGAATTTATGTGTCTAAGGGCTGCCCAGGTACTGGTGAAACAGAGCTTGTTATCACAAAGTTATCAGTTGTTAGCATTTAATGGATTCCATCGTCTGTTGACAGCCAGTGACGGCCAAATATGTAAAATTCACATCCGACCGTGCCAACGAAAATACCATCTGAGTGTTCTGATTTGCATCGCAGACGGTCAGAAAATATCTGCACAAGAATGTGTGTGTGTGTGAGTGTGTGTGTGTGTGTGTGTGTGTGTGAGTGTGTGTGGACCCCACTGGTGTGTTTGTGCAGCTTGTCGCCGCCTCTCAGTGTGCATCCACCGGCTGCTGTAACTCTGAGCAATAATGAGAGTGCAATGAGTTCATCTGATGTTTGGCTGGCAGAGTCATAACCAGGTCTGATGTGCAGACGCGTCCTGTCATGAGCGTAATGAGCAGCGCCATGGAGGGCTGCAACTAGTCATGATTGTCTCAGTTAATTGAGAAATAAATGAAAAGGTAAAAAAAAATAGTGAACAATATCTGTCTGTTTTGTCTAATCAACACTCTAGAGTCCAAAGACTCAGCTTACAAGATATAAAACCAGCAAATCCTCACGTTGTGCTCAAAAAATGCTGTAAATGATGTGATATAGTATCTACATAGTTGGTAATTATTGGTTTTAATCAACTAGCTATCTAAACTTGATCACATATCAGATGCTCTATTGGTGGAATAGCATCTCTTTTATGTCTTTCACATAAAATTATCCTTGTAAATCACTTTGAGTTCTGAGTTTTAGCCTCTGTGTTAAACAAGCCAAACTTGAGTGTGTCTGGATGTTTTTAACATGGCAAATGTTAGTCGTTTTCTTTTTCTTTATTTTCTTTATTTTATTCTACCTGTTTGTTTTGTTTTTATCCTTTTAAATCCTTAATGTAGCACTTTGAGATTTTGTTGAAATGAAAAGTGCATTGCAAATAGTACTTATTATTATTTTATTATAAAAGAAGCCTGAGGTAGAATCGAAAGCCCAAGAAAAAAGCAAAGGTCGAGCAAATTCTGTCACCGCAGTTATAAACAAAAAGACACAAAATGAAGGAAATGCAGAGCTCCAAGTAAAATGTAACACGGATAAGATGCTGGTAGATTAAATTTAGAGGGTGAGATAAGCAAATGTGTTTTAAAAGAGATTTTAACTAGAATAAAGATGCAGAATATAAAACAGAGCAAGCAAAGGAAGTAGAAAACTAAATGAGGTGTATATGAAGATAAAGAGCCAGCTTTAAATGGCTCCTCAGGTTGGGTTTTGGCATAAAAAGGCTCCGAGTTCAACAGCAAATACCTGCAGCCCAGTTAACCTTGTTACCATGAAAGCCTATTGCAGGGTGGAGTCACACACCCACTTCCCTTCAGCACCGACCAACACTTTAGCTCCAGATTGAATTCTTCCTTCATTCCTTCGGCGTTATTAACCGGCTTTAAATCTCTTCGCAGACGTATCCGGCCCGGCAGCAGGAAACCACCAGGCTCAACAGGAAGTACAGCCTGACTGAGAGGTGAGCCACTCGCCACGCAGCCACAAACACAGACACATACATGCATATAAATCACCAACATTTCCTTTTCTGACCTGGTTATCTCCTGCATCTGTGGCCGGACCTTTCTGACACAGCAGTGCAGGAACACTCTCCCTCTCCATCTCCGTCTGATTGTCTCTGAGCCTCTGGAGACGTGAGGTGGGGTCGGCCCTTTGTGCGCCGACGGGCGGAAATCCCTCTCAGTCATGCCTGGCTGTGATTTGACTGTAATGAGCTCTAAGTGTGCGGAGCAATCATCCGTGCTTAAAATGTGACCATAATGATATGTGCTGGGATGGTGATTCCTGTACGTTGACATGTGGGGGGGCATTTCGGACATGCTTGGCTTGTGAACGGGCCTCTACTCATATTTGACCTGAGACTGAAACAGTTCAGTGACTCTGGAATGCGAAGAGGAAACGTTTACTCTAATTTACCCACTTTCACTGTCTGTGTTTTTTGTTCTGTAACGTTCTCTGTCTGACAATGTCCTTCCCTGTTTAATATTTGATGCTCAGAATTTTTTTTCCCAACTTGACTGTATGTTTTTTAGTGATGAATATTGAGAAGAAATAGTCCAGCAGTTTTTGGAAAGTTAGCATATTTGCTTTCTTTCCATGAGTTAGATGAGGAGATTGATATCACTGTCAGTCTGTACGCTACAGTTAGAAGCAGGAGGGGATTAGCTTAGCTTAGCGTAGCTTAACTTAGCTTAAAAAAAAGGCTGGTATCAGGGGAAAAACAGCCGACTTCTGTGACTTGTGACGTATATTTTGTGTTTTTATGATACTGTATGACACTCCTAATCCTAATTTAAACCTTATTTAAATAGTTTAATCCCATCTCTTGTAAAATAAATTCCCTGAATTTGACTTTTTGTTGTTAAATAAAGGTTTAATGAAATAAAATTGTCATAAAAATATGACTAGGCCTCTAAAAACCACAAAGTTTTTTGTTAAATACATACATATATGTAATGGCAATAACATGTGTTGTAATTACATATAGTGTAATTTGCCAGATACAACAGCGTGTTGTTTTTGTTTACATGTTTTGGTGTCTTTAAAGGCACCAATCTGGCAACCTCAGTGTGATGACAAGCCTCAGAGAAGTTGCACACAGCTGCCTCATCGAGCTCATAACGTCCCATAAAACTTTAAATTGTTGCTCTATAACCTCCGTTCTTAGTGCTAAGCTTAACTAACCTCTTCATGGTTTATTAATTATTCGTATTTTAATTGTCAAAACCCAGTTGTACTGCCTCATAAGGACAGTGTGGTCCATCACTGAATGTCACAAAAGGTTGCAGAAATATTTCACCTCCAACCAAAGTTTGTAGGATTTGTTTTTTAAAGGAATGTTGTTTATTTCTCCACATCCCAGAGACTACCCAAGTTGGAGGCGTGAGTCCAGACCACCAGAGAGCATCGGCCAGCACCAGCACCACCTCCATCAGGGTCGATGGGGCCCCAGACCGGCCAGCAGCAGCAGCGATGACCACAACGGACACTCCTTCGCCCCTCCGCCGGCTCCTCTTTCGCTCCGAGGTAGAGCCATGTCGGAAAACGACCTCCGCTTCGACAGCAGCCACCGCTGGTCGCCGTCCATTTCCGTGGCGACCAGTCAGACCCTAAGCGAGGTGGAGGAAGGAGCAGGAGGCGTCAGGGGAGGAGCTGCGGCGAGCACCACCCGGCAAACCAGGAAGAAGACGCCGCCTCCTCCGAGACCGCCACCCCCGAAGTGGGAACAGTTCCACCGCCGGCGTTCGTCCCACCACACCCTGTTCTCCTCCCCTGCTGCTGCTCCTCCCTCCGGCCCTCCACCCTTCAGCACTGCAGAGGCTCACTCCTCCTCCTACATCCCTCCACCTGAGGAGTCCAGGCAGAGGTCCTACAGCCTCCCTCCAGAGAGGCACGAGGTGTCGGACGGCTGCCCGCGATGCAGCTGCAACCAAACTCCAACCCAGGAGCGCTCATCTTCCCACGCCCCGTCCAATCAGAACCAGGCTCCGTTTCAGGAACTGTCCTTCTCTGTCGCTCCGCCCAGTCCGATGTTCTCCAGGAGGGCCTTCAGACCGGTGGCTCCTCCCCAGAGGGAGTGGGAGGGAAGCCTGAGGATGGAGGCTGCTCCGTCTCTACCTCCACCTACACCACCACCACTAGCAGCAGACACCGGCGTGAGCAGGTCAGAGAGGAGGTATATAGTGTTTTATTTACATTAGAAATAAAACTAACACGGGTTTCTTGATTGATTGGTGAATTATCTGGTCTAGATATGCCAGAAAATAGTAAAAGAAGGTGTCTAACTGTCCCATAAGATGATCCAGATTCCGTCTGTTGCAGACCTTGTACACACAGATACTGATGTTTTTTAAATTTTCTCATTTTCATTAAATTTCAAAACATCCTGTACAAATAAACTTCTCATAGGTTCTTACTGGATGATTTAAATGATTGATTTGTTCAGTCAGATAAGTACAGAAGTCCTGGCTGCCACAAGATTAGAAAAAAATGGGTTAATGTGTTTAAAAAAGCTAATTTTGATGTGTTTTTAATAGATTTTTAGCCATAAACTCAAATTGCTACGGGTCAGAAAACATCTTCAGTTGCTGTTAAGTTGCTGTTTCAGCATTTCTTAACCTTAAAAGTAAGAATGCAGAATTAGGGATCAACAATGTCAATAAATATTTAATTATTTTATTGATTTTATTGTGGAATAACAGTCTGCTGATGTACACTGGTTATCTTTGTCCTTGCTTGTATGATTTATTGAGGTGACGAGTTATTTCTGTTTGTGTCTCTGCAGTGTGGACGTGAGCTGCAGTCCAGACCAGGACAGGATGACGGTGAAACCTCACAAACAGCAGCCAGCCGTGAGACCTGGAGCCGAGTGGGAGAGAACTCCGTCTCCCAGAGTTCACAGCGACATAGCGCTTCACCCGGTCTTAGAAAATGGAGATGCTGGTGGGGTTTTACCTTCATCGCCTTCCTCCTACTTCACCCAAATCGATTATGAGCACCAGCAGCAGCAGCTCCACATGAACAGAGGCTTCCCAACTGAGGAACAGCAGAAGATCCCCGAACCAGGAACAGAATCGGAGACGACCCTCAGCCCGAGCCCTGCTCACAGCCTGGAGGCCGACCTGGACGTCCCCATGGAGACGGACATCGATGACTTCCAGGAGGAGGAGCTTCCAGCGGAGGACATGCCCATCACCAGCGAGCTCCCCTGCTTCGCCCTGCCTGTCACGGTCCTGGAGACGGACATCGACACGCTGCCGGACTCGGAGGCTTCGCCGTCGGGCCGGACGAGGGCAGAGAGCGGCTCTCTGGAGGAGGAGCTGGAGGCCGGGGACAGCAGCAGAGAAGGGCTGAGCCTGGAGGAGCTGTTCCCCCAGAGCAGCGAGGGAGAGTCGGGCACGGAGAGCTGGAGAGGAGCCTACCAAGCCACGGAGCACAACACCGACAGCTTGGATAGGTGAGCAGAGGGAGGCCGGGAGGCTTAAGTCTGAGCGCTGGAATGTGACTGTGTGTGTGTGTGTGTGTGTGTGTGTGTGTGTGTGTGTGTCGTGCATTAATTACACAGATCATTTGATTTGTACAAGACCTAACTGTTCTTGTCACTAAGCTCATTCCCTCGTTCCCACAACCCTTCCAGAGCACCTTACCGCAGCCAGATTTCTTTTTTCTCTCTCCGTTGAGTTTCCAAACTGTTTTGCAGAAACAGGTGCTGGATGGGTAGCTGGTGCCACGTAGGACACAAAGAGACTTAAGACAGCTTCATCTTTTTATCACAAAACCTGGAAAATCGAGAATGATCTTTCAAGCATGAAGGGCAACACCCCTGTTTTTTCTTACTCTAATTCCATCTGTTCATATCCACACAATATGGTTGTTATTATTTCCAGTATCAGTATAATATCGTATGATGCAAAAATCACATTTAAAACAAATATAAAACCTTTAAAACACAGCTTTTGGTCTACACACAAGTACAGATTTAGGTCATTAAAATTGAGCTTCTGCAAAACTTGTCCCAGGGTGAAGACATTCAGAAAGTGGAAGGCAGTCGACTCTTCATTTATCATTAAACTTTACATCTTAATTAGTGTTCATGAAGCTTGTTTTGCAATCCAGTGTGTTATTCTAGATATTCAGATAAGATGTTAAGGACAATAGATGCAGAATAGCAAAGAGCACAGAGTTCATGAAGCATATATGAGGGCTATACAGTATGAAGACAGTAATACATGTGAATTATGTTCATATTTCTCATCATTACTGGGTTTTTAACAACACAAGTCATTAAAAGTAGATGAGGAGTCAGTGGATTGATGATCTGCTGCCTCTCTTCCTCTTTTTTTCTTTTCTATCTGTGCTATCAGGTGGATTTTGTTTCATATTATTATATATTTTTCCGTTTATCTTCTCACATCACCTGCTTCTGTTCGTGTCTACAATTTAATTTTCTTCTATCTTTGTTGTTTTCTTTGCTTATCCAAGTTTTCCTTTCGTCCCACTGATCCCTCATGACCGATTGCGTTTCCTATTAGTGTGTGTTTGTCGTCGCTGGGTTTTGTGACTGCGTGCATGTTTTATATCTCGGCCTTCTTGTTATTTCGCTGTGTAACTAAAACAAACTCTCCCCCGCCCAGGCGGTCCGGCGCGAGCTCCAGCTGCTCGTCCTATTACAGCACCTCGGCAGCCAAGGCCCAGCTCCTGTCGCAGATGAAGGACTTCACCGACAACAGGGAGAGGGGCGAGGACGACGAGCTGACCTACAAGGTAACGCTGCTCTCTGAGATTTAACGCACCTCCAAGAGCATCCTCCTGTGAAAGCCAAGACAGACGTGCGCTGCTGGTATGTTCATTCTGAGATGTTCCTCCTCTGCAGAAACAGCTGATGGAGAGCCTCCGCAAGAAGCTGGGAGTGCTGCGGGAGGCGCAGAGGGGACTGCAGGAGGACATCCGAGCCAACGCACAGCTGGGAGAGGAGGTGGGACAAACGTTCATTCATTCATCTTTTTATGGCCTTTATTGTGCTGCAACAAGGACGGGGAGTAACTTAAATCCCTCAGTTTGCTGACTGTGTTGGTCGATTTGTGGTTAAATCTTTAAATACATGACTGCAGCTGGATCGAGTAACGTCGATTATTAGAGCTATAAAATGTCAGAGTATGGCTGAAAATGGCTGTTTTGTTGACAAAGATATAAAACATTTAGGAAGCTATTTTCTTGATTTATGATGTAAACATGTAAGTAATTATCAAAATTGGTGCTGAGTCATTTTCATCTTACTCTCAATTGGAGTGAATGTTTTTGTTTACATTCTTGGTCAGTGATATCCTTCTTTTCACTGTTTATGGGCACAAAATGGCCACTTTATCTCCTGTGTGTTTTGTATTTGACTCGAATTCGCTGCAGCTCACAAATATTTTCATGCCTGTTATTGTCTCTAAGCGAACACATTTTTCCTCACACTGGGCTCGTTTTTCACTCCAATATAAAGTCCTGCACCTCTGCAGAAACAGAACAACCATGAAGAAGAAGAAGAGGGAACTCAGAAATATATGTTGTGCAATAAAAGTTATAATAAAAAAGAACAAAAAGAAAAAAACAAAGTTGACAAGTTTTGATTGCGTGATTGATTTGCCCCCAAAAAACTGTCAAATCAAACGACTTTCTCCAGATTGGTGCTTACTCACTCCTCACTCCTCAGGTGGAGAACATGGTGGTGTCGGTGTGTAAGCCCAACGAGGTGGACAAGTTCCGCATGTTCATCGGCGACCTGGACAAAGTGGTGAGCCTGCTGCTGTCGCTGTCCGGGAGGCTGCTGAGAGTCGAGACCACACTGGATACACTGGACCCCGAGACGGAGCACCACGAGAGGGTGAGGAGGGGGAGGTGAAGGAGGAAGGAGGAGTGAAGGGGCGCTGTGTCAGAGTGATGGTGTGACTTCACAGCTACACAGCATAAATCTCGTTTTGTGTCTGTGGTGCGGCGTGATCTTGGAGTGCAGACATTCCACACAGATCAGAGGTGCTGGCTGTTTGCTTTTGTTTTTGAAGAGGGAAAGCAGTCAAAGAAATCTGTTTGGCAAAGTCTGCGCTCCATGAAAGAAGCAGCTGGATTGAAGATGCACATTTCAAATGCACATATTGTGTCAGAGTAGGAAGAAAATGAGGAAAGGTTTGTTAAACATGAAGGGTTGAGGAACAATACGGGACTGAATGTTCACAGACTTTGGATGTAGAGGGAAGAAATGTGGACCCTTGGCTGATATATCCTGACTTTAGTCTTCATTGATTAACCATCAGGCTTATTTTTTACTGATTTAAGCGTATGGCTCTCTCTGCCCTGCAGCTCCCCCTGCTGGAGAAGAAGCGTCAGCTCATGAGGCAGCTGTCCGAGGCTCAGGACCTGAAGGACCACGTCGACCGCAGAGAGCAGGCCGTCAGCCGGGTGTTGGCCCGCTGCCTCTCTCCAGAGCAGCACAGAGACTACAGGTACAGGTCATTTGGTGTAAAACAGAAAATAAAGGTGCACGATGTTAATGGCCACGATTTAGAGGACATCAGGACCTCACAAGTAGCTCACAGCACAGGACAGAGAGGACAGCGTCCGACACAATATAAATAAAACATGTTAAAGTTCACAAAGCTCCATAAATTAACATGCTTTCAGGTGTCAGAGGTCAGAGTCCTTGTCTGACTCACTCTAAACTTGTTTATTTTTTTCCCTCCGCAGCCACTTTGTGAAGATGAAGGCCGCCTTGCTGGTGGAGCAGAGGCAGCTGGAGGACAAGATCCGGCTGGGAGAGGAGCAGCTGAGGGGGCTGAGGGAGAGTCTGGGGCTGGGGCTGGGGATGGGCATGGGCATGTCGATGGGATACGGACATTACTAACAGAAGAAGAGGCAGGGCTGGTCGCCACATTCAGTCTGAGTCGAGTTCAGAGCCAGGAAGACGAGTAGCTGCAGAGCAAGTCGCCGCCAGGCTGACACAAGAGGTAAACATGTTTGTAGTAACGTGGATTTGCACAGTTCCTTAAAGAGTAGTTTCACATTTATTCACTGTTGACACTAAATATGAAGCTACTGCAGCCCTTTCACTTAGTTTAACTTAAAGATGGGAAACAGGAGAAGGTACCACAATCCGCCCACCAGCTCCTCTACATTTCACCTCCTAACAAATGACATCTTGTTTTATGGCGGCTCAGAGCCAGACTGTTTCTTGGCTGGGCTTCCTGCAGCTTCATATTTAGCATCTCAGACTGTCTAAGTGTTCCTCTAAGGATTAGCAGACATGTATGCAGAGGTTTCAGGTCCAAAACAAGCAGCTGAAACAGCTCAAACAGCCTGAAGGTTTTTAGGTCGGTGGGGAAGAATAGACTCTCAATGATGGAGACCAAAGGAGGCACAAGTCCAAGGTGTCAAACTGAAAAAAGACTGGACTAATTTAGCCGTAACACATCCCTTAAAAAAAGAAGAAGAAGAGGAGGAGGAGGAAGTATGTGGACTAGCAGCAGCCTCTGAAGTTCACTCCAGCTGCTCTGCGCGTTCTCTTCATTAACTGGAGACTCCAGTAATCCGATAAATCTCCAAATGTAGCAGAAACATATCGACAGCTCATCTCCAGAGGGAGCAGAGAGCGTGTTCGCTGTTAGGAAGGAGGATGGCTGGATTACTGAAACCCTCGCTGGTGCGTAAAACAGCTGGAGAGGAGGATGTTTTTCCTGACTGAAATGGAGCGAGGATTCACACGGAGGGCGTCGTTTAACTAAACCCAACCAATGTTAATTGAATCCTTTTTATTGCATGTCGGCTTCGGAGGCCACCGAAAGTGTTCTGCTTCACGTAAAGTGCCTGAAACATGTTCTGTAAAACACTACACGTCCCTCCAGCCTGAACAGCATCACACTACGTTGCCAAAGACGTTTCCTGTCCACGAATGTGTCGCTGAGACACTGCTCACGTTTTACGTATTTAAAGCTTCTGGTTCAGAGAATCAGAGGAGGATTGTTCTGGTGCTTCCGTTAACCACACTAAAGCCAATATTGTGAATGTGCAGCATTATTAACTGCTAGAAGCTCTACTGCGTTCAGCAATACTGTATTATCGAGCATAATATCGTCATATCACTATGTATCCCCATTACTGTAATGTCCGCGGCGGTAACGCGTGGAGTTTGACACTCTGCTGACTCGTTACGCTGCCACCAACTGTACAGAAGACTCTTATGTTTATATTGTATACGGTGTGTATATATATATATATATATATTTGTAGTGCTTTTAATATTTGAAATGACTGGAATTGGTTGTAAAAGATGAACGAGAAGACCAGGAAGTAAGTTTACTGTATATTTTGACGGTGAATGAATCCAGAGGTGCGTTTGGTTTGCGTGGAACAAGAGTTGCTTTTTTTTTTTTGGTTTGTTTTTTTGTCACTTGGCTTCATGAAGCATCGAGTAGAGTTTTCAAAATGTTTTCCATTTTTTGCCCCAAAGTTTGTCCCACCTGACTGACAAATTCATACTGGGAAATGTGAGTGTTTGCTTTCTTACCAAGACAATAAGTCCTGCCCAGCGGCTAGTTGGTTTAGCTAGCCTGTTTTTACTTTTAGCAGGAAGTAAACAAACTAGATATAACTTTGTCAGCTTTGGAGAAAGTCTACCACTTTCCCTGAGTTTCCAGCCTTTGTGCGAAGCTAACATTCATATTTAAGACATGAAGAGGAAAGTGGTGTCAGTCTTTTTATCTTCATCTTGACTGAACAGAAAGTGTTTCCCAACATGTTAAAAGCTTCTTTTAAAAACAAAAACACTCCTTCTGGGTGTCTGTGTAGGTCCTCAGTCACCCAGATGATGGTAATCCTCCGTGTGTCAGTAGAAAGCAGCTTCTTCTTTGGTTCTTGAAGTTCTTTCAAGGTCTGGGCAGGCCTCTTGAATCAGAAGTGAAACGTCTTCAAGAACCAAAAAGACATTCAGTTGCTTTCCACTGAAGCTCTTAGGAACCCAGTTTGGGATTTTATCTGACGCAGAATGTAAAAAGGAGGACAGGTTCTTGTTTGTCTAGTTAATTATCCACCAAAACACCTCGACATCCAACTTTAAATCCCCACAATCTTCTGATTTGTGATCTTGCCAAAGTCTCCCGAGCTTTATCCGGTATCCTAAACCTTGGACGGGGCAGGTTGAAGGAGCTCCGCACTGCCTGTCTCAGTGAGTCAAGTTAAAAATGAAGAAAAAAACCTGCAGCTCAACCAGAAATGGTGGGATTTGTAAGAGGAAATGTGTACATTCTGGCTGCTGAAAGGAGAAATTACTGACGTCAAGTCAAAATACAGCAGCTCTGAAGACACAGACGCCTTTATTGGACCTGCTTCATCCGTTCACTGGTTGATGTTTGATTAAATAAAACACGTTCTGGTTAGAAGCAGCTTGAAGTTTGCTAAAAGTTAGTTTTACACTTGGTTTTACTCACTTTATTCTCTGCTGTGTTTAATACCAAACAACCCTGAACTTAAGCATATAGTTGTGTTTTTGTTTTGTACATATTAAATGTGTTCTTGTACCATAACAGCTGTTTTCTAGACTGACTGGAAACTCATTGATTTGACGGGAGAGGAGAGAAGTTGCTTGTTGGACCCGGTGTGAGAGTATATTTCTTCTGTTCGTGATTTCCTGTGTAATTTTGATTTATTGCAAAACCCCTTTTTGTAACTGCAAAAACACTCGTGTGAGGAAAAAGTACCATAAATAATAATAATAGTATTTTAAACTAGCTGCACGTCTCCTGTTGTGATTTATGCCCCGACGGGTGAACGGTCTCTTTATGCCAGTTCAGAGTCTCGACGTGTTCCCTTCTGGGGGAAGCTGTTGTTTAAATGTGGTCGGACGGTTGGGTAAATACGGCTGGAGGTAAATGGAGGCTGACGGATGGCGAGCCGAGTGCTGAGGCTCATTCAGCAGCTCTGCGGGAGTTGGAGAGTTTTACTGAAGGGAAGTTAGTGCCTGTGTCATTAATACTGATGTTCTGCCGCTTCGGGGTTCATCTGAGCTCTAAATGCAGGACTCATTAAAACATATTGATGTTGGTGGTGTGGAGGCCCAGAGATAAAAAAAAATAAATAAATCAACTACATAAAACCACAGTGGCAGATGCAGATTTAAGTGCTGGTGAAAAAATCTCCTGTGAAATCTTTGCTCTAATGAAAAGAAATCAAATTAAAGTCAGCATAATGTGCTTTAGTACAGCGTATTTTGTGAGAGTGTAGCATACATCAATCCTTTAACTGAGTGCTACTAAGAAAACAGTGTTTAAGGAGGTCACGGTCAGAGAGGAGGTGGTGGAAAACAGCTGTAAAAGTGAATAATCTGTGTTTTTGAGGGCGCGAGGGAGTGCATTCTTCTGCCCGAGCCAGACTGAAGAACAGAGGACTGATGGGAATATAAGGAGAGGAGGTAAAAGGCAAAACAGCCAGGGCTTGAAAGTACAGGTAAGTACAATTAAAACACGAAGGGAGGAGTATAATTATTGCAGTGTCATTTTAACAACTAAGATCTTGAATGAAGTTGTTGGAAGAAAGAAAAGACGTGACGAGAAACAGACCCGCTCAAACCAGAAACGCTGTGGGAGGCAGCAGTGTTTATGTTGGACTTCAAGGAGCTGACTGATGCACAGAAGAAGGAGGTGAATGAGTGGGAGGAACACAGAGAGACATCAGGGGAAGTTTTGTGGCTTATCAAAGCTGGAGACATGAAACAGCAGTAAAACGTGGTGGTCTGCACGTGTCGTTACTACAGATGACCACAAGGTGTCGCGCTTTCACCGTTTTAAAATGATCCGTTCCACAATATTAGTGCATATAAACGTTGGCTTTAAAAGTGTATTTTCCAAAGAAATAGTCATAATAATAAAGAAACGTGTTCTGTGGAGAAACACTATAAAATAGAAGTATACAACACACTTTTTGTAGGGGCAATATTTTTCAGTATTTTACAACAGCGAAAAATTCACTTAATCTTCAGGACCAAAGTTAGCTTTGATGAAACCATTTGGGATGAGTTTTGACTTATTCAATTCACTTATTATTTTCCTAAAACAACAACAACAAAAAACTCCTAAACCCTTTAAATGTGCAAGTTTCCATACCCTACTTTTAAAAAGTATGAGAAGTTTAAATATATCGTCATGTGTTCCTGGATCTAGAAGATATTTTTGGCAGGTTGTAAGATTTTTTTTTTTTAATATCACAGCAGTTTGATTTAGTATTTTATAATAATATTAATGCATCATATACTACTGTTATTATTACTACTACTTCTATAATGCGGGTTTATTTGAAAGGGAAAAAAATCGACAACCAATTCAGCGAACTGCTCCACTGACCCAATTGGAGCAGCGATAGCTCTTAACTCGACTAATTTTCCTGCCGTCCAGATGCTCTGTCAAGTTAGCCAAAACCAGGCGGAGAAACCGGAAATGAGATTGTCAGCTTTAATATTCAATTTTACTTTTTTGTGAAATGAGGAACAATTTATCTGCTAATCAGTAAAAGTAAAGCATATGTTGGTTTTGTGTCATAGCGTATTAAGAATAAATATGGCCTTAGAAATAAAATGATAAAACATGTCACGGCAACTAGTTTGTACGTAACTTTATTAATCCGCTTAACGGAAGTCACGTCTGATTTTAGCGACATTGACGCTAGCTTGGTTATTTAACTGGCAAAAACAACAAATATTGTAGAGAATTTTGATTTATTTCAAGAATTCTGTCATCCAAACGGAGTAACTGTGTTTTTTGGCTTCATTTGGAGCATGTAGTTGTCGTTAAAGCCGTCGTTTGTGGGGCCCAGACAATGACGCAGGGTTTCCACGGAGCGGTTAAGTTTACATAGGCTACTGTTGACTCAAGCAGCTACAGTAGAAGACGGCGGCGGAGCAAATCCGAGTCACAAGACTTCTTCAGTGAGCTGCACGGCTGCTTTCTCTCCCCCCTCCACAGGTACGATAAAGCCGTAACTCGGCATTTTATTCATTAAACTGCTTGTAAACGAAGCTGGGTGAAGCGCGGTAATTATTTAACCAAGTTAGCCGGACGGTTGTATTTTGTTGACTTGACACTGGAATAGCAGCTTAAGCTAGGCTAATAATCTGCTTTCCGTCGGCCGCGGCTTGTGTTTTCCACTTGCGAGGCGGCTTTCGCTGCAAAACCGCAGAGATAGAACCGAGAATAGAAGTGCAAAGAAAGAGCGGAAACGGTTGCGAAAACTTGGCTGTAATTGGAGATGTGCTGTCATTACTGCCTGCGATGAGCCGGCTGATAGGAGCAGCTGCGGGTGTCCCGGCAGCCTGATCTCCGGAGCTCCAACATCTTATTGGGGGGGAATAAGACATTTCCTGTTATTCGGGGACCATGTTTCAGTTTTGGGGGAGACTGCATCGGACGCTTGCAGGTGATAGAGGTAATTACAGCTGATATTCACACTGCACGGACCGCTGGTTAAACGTTGCTGTCGCGAACAGGTTCCGAAGGGATGGAAAACCCCGGCTACTGCTCCGGGAGCTTCGACGGCCTTCATCACCCCAGCGACGATGATGATGACGAGATGGTGGACATCGCAGGAGCCACTCTGGACTTTTCCACCACAGACGACGTGCCTCCTCTCAGCTCAGGTACCTTTGCTCCGACGCCGCTCCAGGAAAGGGTTAAACCAGCTCAGACGCTGGCAGGGTTGAAATGAAAGTATTTTTGCAGGAGCATGTTCGCATTTTTTTGCAGATTTTGCACCGATTGCAGACACAGCAATGAAAAACGATCTAGGAAAGTGCATGCTTAAGGTCTTAATTCACATTTTCAAGTTTTTAAGATTGACTGCACAGTTTAAACTCTGTGACTGGCTGGAGCTCAGTTCCAAGAGGCTTCTTCTGTTCAGACTGATTGGGAGTCCAGATATATGTTGTCATCACCAAATCAGAAAGCTCATGGCTTTCTAACATCCCCAACCTCTCAAGGTGTTGTTGGTGGTAAAACTGGGTGAGGAAGGATGTCAAAACTGCATTATAAGTACCTGATAAGTTGCAGTATAGACCCTCCTCTGTTGAACTCAGATGGCTTCCTTATCTCCTCTCTCAATTTATCTATTTAACGACTTGTGAATGTACACAGACACATGATGAGCATCCACAGTCACAGAAGTCTAAATATCAATCTGGGGCAACCAAGAGGTTCGATGCACTGACCATATAATCACACTTTACCTGCAGCTAAAATGGAATTAATTGCACCTCTTTTATTAGGAGATCTAATCTGTGTTCCTTGTAGTGAGAGGTTTCTTTACATAGTGTGTCCTCTTATAAACAAATGTAACCATGTGATTAACTTCACGGTGTTTACTGTTTTGGCTTTTACAACATGTGGACTTTGTTTGATTGCACAATTATGGCGTCTCATCAGTTCTGTTAACGTGTGAGATGACATGTTCAGAGCTGCTACGATTATTAGTAATCAGGGAGGTGGACAGGTGATATTTGGAGCTCCATCAGTGCCAAAGTAGAGTGCTTTTTAATTCATTTATTTTTATCAGGAATTGGTTGAAAAGTAATGATGAATGCTGCCTCTGATAATCACATAAGAATTTCCAGGAGTTGTTGGTATTGAATTCAGTGCTTGGCAGCGTTGCACAACTTCAGTAAACTTTGTTTTCTCTCTTTGAAGCTGCCGATTTTTGAACTTTTGGCAACTTTACTGTCAACAGTAGAGGTAGAAGGTAACTGAGTTTGTTGTATTTTAACAGAAAAACGCTGCTCTACGGATGCTAGTGTGGCTACAAGGCTACCTCCAGATTGAAAGCCTTGGCACAAGATATAATGAGCTCATTATTGTTCTCAAAGTGTTCCTGAAGCTGTGTTTTTTCTTGGTGATTAGAAAACTTGAGCAGCGCGAGCAGAAACAAAGCGCTGACAGCGTGTGAGCGGTGCTTGTTTGCACAGTCCATTGTGTGACTGTTGCTGCCCAGAAGTATCGATAAGATATATCTGTAGCTGCAGTGTGTGTGTCACATGCTTCCAGCAAGTCGTGGTCATACGTCTGATGAATCAGTCACTATATACGTGCAACTAGACTTACTGTATTTTTATGTGACTTCACATAGAAACAGCGTTTAAAAGTGAGTTATGTTGGTGGTATTGTTTAAAGCAGTGTCGTAGGTTTCCCTAATCTCCAGCACCCACTCTTTCCTGTCCAAGTCTGCCTGGTTACTGCTGATGTCATCACCAAACCTCACCCGCTATGATGACAACACCTTGTGGTTTGATTTCTAACTTTTAATGCTCAGAGACCAGAATTGATTTAACTTTAACAACAACTCTGATTATGTTTTTATCATGACGTCACTCTAAGACCTCATTAGTTCACTTCATACACCTGTTAAGTTAGCTAATTAGAGCAGGGATCAATTAAAAGTCTAGTGGGAAGGGTAATATACTAACATGTTAACGAGCAAGATGAAAGGTCATTTTTTTGTTGTTGGCTTGAGAGGAGGTTTGTACGTGTTTTGTTTGTAAAGCCTGCAGCTCCAGGCAAAGTTACTGCTGAGTCTTTGGTATTGATTAACAATCCTGTTCACCTCCAGCAGATGAAATACGGTGAATTCATGCTGTGGACAAGTTTAAATGTTACTCTGGTTCCCCTGCAAAGTGTCTCTAAGTCATTTAAAGCATTGCAGGATTTTTCTTTTCCCCCTCAAACAACAAAGATTCATGATCAACAGTATTCTGTGTTTATTCCAGCGTTCAACATAGATACAGCTGCTGATATTGTCTTATCTCGTTATTTTGGTGGGTCTTCCTTCCCTCCTCCAAACAAGAAGAATACCTTGACCAGTGCCTAATACTGGGATAGCCTCCCAGTAGTTTGCACATCCTGAATCCTAAATAGTTTCTTATGAGATAAAGCTGCTTCAACTGTGAGAAATAACCTTGTTTGTGAGGCTAGGATTGTGCATTTTATCGTGCTTCGGCACATTATAACACTTATCAACTAAGCAAAACCCTCATCACACTCATCATCACGCCTGGACAACTATAACAGCCTGTTCACGAGCCTAAATAACACAATGGCAGAGCAGCTACAGACAGAGTCCACAGATTTCAACACATTACTGAGGTTTTAGCCTCTTTATCCCGTTTATTTTAGAATTGACTTTAAAGTCTGTTTAACTACTTACAAGGCATTACAGGATTTGGTACCCCAGTATGTCTCTGATCTAGTATCACCATACAGCCCTGTTGGAGGTCTGTTCTTTAGACTGAGGACTAAGGCGGGCAGCAGGTTTTAAAATATCTCTGTTGGGGGAAATAAGGCAGGTTGGGTTAGTGGCGTCTTTTTTTTCTTTACTCCACCACTTCCAATATTATTTCTGCTTAAATTCAGTTTTAGAAGTAGATATTACATTAATTCACAAAGTGCCTTGTTCTCCTGACAGTAAAGCGGTCATACATTTCACTGTTTATTATTTTGGTGGTTTAATTTGACTTCTGAGTAGTTTTTTTTTTTTTTTTTTTAAATTTTAATTGTTCATAGATTTTTTAAAAATGGAATGTGTTTCCTGTGTGCGCTGCTTCGCTACTCCGTTTATGTTTTAAAATGGAAAAACATAAAACAGGATTACACGAAACCACTTTGTTCCTTTTGATTTTCAAAGTTAATGGAAATATTTGGTTTAAAATAAGCAAGTGGGATGATTGTTTTATTTAATTTTTTTGCTTAGCTGTGAATGTTTTTTTTGCTATTTCACAGGAAAGCTAATTGTACGTTTGTACTTTTTTCCTGATTCCACTTGTTATTCTGTTCATGGGTCATACCTTTCGTTATGTTCGTACTTGTGTTTATTTTGAGGAGTTTTAACGTCACTTTGTGTGACCTTTGCATGCTTTGGGTTTGATCATTTCTAATTTCAATACGGCTTGTTTCGACAGCCTAACGATCATTTTACGCTCACATGAATGGAACCATGAGAAATTTTAACTCGCTCACAAGCAAGTGGTCACATATGCAGCCACATTGGAGCCTGAAGGATTTCCTCTTAAAGCCGTCCTGATTCCCTCTTCACTTCATGCAGCCATCACTGTTCCAGCACATTAAAAGCAGTGATGCCAAGTGTCGCCTGATTTTTGCTGATGTCATCATGACACGGCTTGTAATCTGTTGTTTTCCTGAAGAAAGCGAAACTAGATCTCTGCCAGAACGTGTTCCCCACTCTGCTCAGTGGCAGGACAAGTTGGTGCATTCATACGATTAGCAAAAATCATTTCGATTTTCAGCAAAGATGGTGATATCAGTTGCCTGGTTACTAGTGATGTCACTGTGACATCGCCAACATCACGCCATCATTACCACAGAGAGATAAGCTTGTGCCATCAGGAAGGAAGGCTGGAGATGAGGTTGTCTCTCGGTGGATGCTGCTGCTGCTGCTGCTGCTGCTGCTGCTGGGCTGAAGCCTTCGTTTCCACTGCGTCAGCTCTTTGGGAGTGAAGAAACATGGCCTTGTTTTTACACTAACAACCATGTATTTTAAAAATTACACGGCGGTTTGTGAGAGAAAATCATAACCAAAAAGAGGTTCAAGTGAAAACGGGAGAGTCAGCAGAACTGGATGTGCAGGATTTGTGTGTGACGGTAGTTCTGTGCTTCAGCCTGATTTCAGTCCATGTCAGACTCCAGGGAAATCAGGAGGATGTTCGCTGGAAGTCCGGCTTCATGCCGCTCTCCACTGTGCAGAGCTGCTCTGTAAAGTTTAGGATGACAGCAGAAATACTTTGTGGTGTTTTTAAAAAAAAAAATCTGTGATCTGAATGCAAAACGCCAGAAGAGTTTAAAGTTCAGACATCCAGCTTTTAAACGAGCTAATGCCATCCTGGCTGTGTCCTTTATGACTGTTGAGCTTAGCAGTGTCCCAGCTTGCACTTTGTCACTGTTTAGACTGTTTTGACTGCACTTCCTCATTTTGTTTGCCTCTTGAGCCAAGTTAAAAATGTGGTTGGTTCCCCTCCTGCTCATGAGCATGCACTTTGCCATGAAGCCGTTGTCAGCCATCGTTCAGCCAGCCTTGTGTAACCTGTTGCTCCGGCAGAGTTTGGGCCTGGGAGGCGTCGGAGTCCTATCAGATGGTGTGTTCTTGAGCAAGGCATTCATTTGCTGAATGCCCCGGTAGCAGAGTATCTGACGTGTTCAACAGGTTAAATAACATATTTAGACAGTTGCCTTTATGTTGCGTGTAAAGCATCGCGTGTTCTCCTACAGAAACACCAGCGTTCCTTTAAACTCCTCTCATCCCTAAAGGAAGCGAGCGTGTTGCTGCTTGTCCCGACCGTCTGTCTTCGCTCCACGAATGTTGTTTGTGTTTTTGAAGGACGAAAGGAAGGATACACGGTGATAACGGCAACAATGCAGTCAGACAGGATGAAACCGTGCAGGCAAAGTCACAAACATGCTCTTGTTTATCTGCATTTATAGCCATATAGACTAACAAAACTACTTTATTGATGTAAAAATGTGAAATGTGTAGTCCTCTGTGATGATTTTCTCTGATGTTCATCTTGTCCCACTAATATATTTGAACCTGTCAACATCTACAAGTGTCACAAGTGACTGTTGACATCACTTGACCCCCGTC